TCATTTGGTGAAATTCTATTCAAATCTCTCTACCAGCTTTATATATCTGTTGTCTGGAATCACTCTTTGACTCTACTAATCTTCATCTGGTTCAGTCAAACATGGAGAATAAATTCACCTCTGAGTTTCGGTCTATAGGTATTAGAGTAAAGGAGAGTACAGACACACTTTTTATGTTTAATTTTTAAGTTTGGGGTTTTTTTTCCTCCTCAAAATTTTCACAATTACATTTAACTGTCTCACAAGGTTTAGAGAAATGTACAGGCTAGTTAACTTTATTTCTATTCATATCAAAGCATTATTCCACACACTTATTTTAAGTTACCTCAAATTTCTTCAGTTCCTCTTTGGCTACAGTGTAGAGCACACCCGATGAGTTGGGCAACGCTGCAGTTTTCTCTGAAGTGGCCAGCCACTCATCAAAACGTGCAAAGTCTTCCAGAAATTTCTGCCACAAACGCCAGGTCTCCTCAATCCTAAAAGAAGATATTTCCAGACAAAGCAAAACCATTTTAACAAATTTAAAAAAGGCTTGTTATGCATGCATGTCGTCTATTTCCATTGACGTGATTCTATGTAATATAGAAATTATATGACTGATTACTTTAGTCTCCTCTCCATGGACAAGGCACAGATGCTCCTCCAGCGGCGATCGAGGCTGCGAGTTGCCTGCTGGATTGAGTCACACTCCACATCGGTGGCACAAGCATCGCAGTCATGCAGGAGCACTTCGCATAAATTCAACACTGACGCGACGCCGGTGCTGTGCTTCTCTATATCACGCTGAAGCTCCTGGTAGTAAAAAAAAGACAGGTGAAAAAGGTTGATGACAGAAACTGATAAAATGATATTATGTTTTCATGTTGCATTCTGTATCCCTGCTGTGTAAGGAACTACACAGATAAGAAGGTACTGTAGCAGCCATTCAAAATGGCGCCAGCTGAATGGCAGCCCACTTCCCTGCAGTGAACCCCTCCTTCTCCTGGGCGTGCAAATTATTTTACTTCACACTTTTACTGAATTACAGGGTCTGACCAAGAGATGACGCTTCTCTTTAGATTTTACCGTCCACAAATCATGACAAAGGAATATTTTAGTACAAAGATTGATGTTTAAAAAACGAATTGTAGGGGACCAGCCAAGGACTCATCAAGGAAAGTGGAGACATTTTGAATGGCTACTAATGTATATAATGAATTTAGGGATGCACGATATAATGGGCCCCCTATCGGTATCGGCCTA